CTCGGCCTCCCAAAGTGCTGGGATTACAGGCTTGAGCCACCGCGCCCGGCCGCCCGGCCTCATTTTACTTTTCTAAAATTCGAGGCGAAATTCACATAGCATGAAATAAGCCACTTTCCGGTGAACGACTCAGTGGTGTTTAGCACCTCGCAGTGCTGGGCCACCATCACCTAGTTCCAGAACATTCTCATCAGCCCAAAAGGGAACATCCTACCTACGGAGCACCTGCTCCCCACTCCCTGTCCCCAGACCTGGACCACAGAGCTCCCTCCTTTCCCAGTGGCTTTGCCCGCCCTGGACGTTTCGTGTAAATGGGTTCACACAACATGTGACCTCCGCGTCTGTCCTGTCCCACTGAGCTTGATGTCCTGAAGTTCATCTGTGTTGTAGCATGTGTCAGAAGTGGATTCCATTTTATTTTATTTTACTATTTTATTTTATTTTATTTTATTTTATTTTATTTTAGAGACAGAGTCTTGCTCTGTGGCCCAGGCTGGAGTGCAGTGCTCAATCTCGGCTCACTGCAACCTCCACCTTCTGAGCTCAAGCAATTCTCCTGTCACAGCCTCCCAAGTAGCTGGGATTACAGGCGCCCGCCACCATGCCTGGCTAATTTTTTTGTATTTTTAGCAGAGGCGGGGTTTCACCACGTTGACCAGGCTGGTCTTGAACTCCTGACCTCAGGTGATCCACTCGTCTTGGCCTCCCAAAGTGCTGGGATGACAGGCTTGAGCCACCGCACCTGGCTTCTGGATTCCTTTTTATGGTTGAATCATAACCCAGTGCACTTTTGATTAAATTCAGGCTGAAATGGGCATGAACAGAGCCGCTGGTCCACCTCTCCTCGGTGCAAGCCCTGCCCCCAGTGACCTGCTCTGGAGCCATTCTAGGCCGTGGATGGGACCCCTGTGGTCAGCGTCCCAAGAGAGCAGACCCCGAGGGAAACTTGAGCTCAGAGAGGACAGGAGCTCCCAGCAGACCCTTCCGCTGACTGCTCCCACCCTGGGCAAACGCAGAGCCGGAGCCCGGAGCGCTGGAAGCTGGAACAAGAGGCCCTTTTCTGCTCTGCACAATGCCCCATTGTGCCCTTTGCAGGGAGAGCAGCTCAGCCCAGCGAGGGGAAGCTGTGCACAAAGGCTCCTTGTGACGGCAGCCCCACCTGAGGACAGCGCAGGGCCACACCTGACACAGCGCAGTCCCTCTCGGCGTCCGTCTCCGAGCAGGCCTGGCATCCAGACAGGGCCCGCTCTGCAGGCGTAGCCCGAGGGTGTGGGGCTCCCTGTTCCCCACAGAGGAGGGGAACAGTGTAAGCTCTGCTGGCCCTTCCTAAACTGGCCCCCAGATCATGAGGAGAGGTACGGGTGGTGGGTTCTGCAGAGGGACCTGGGTGCTGGGCGCCTGCCAGGGCCAACGGCTCCTGTAATCCCCAAGGCTCCGAGCCCTCAGGCACACGCCGTGCTCCCGGAGGCTTGGCCAGCATGTGGAGGATGTTTGCCTGTTTGCACCCATGGCAACATCTTTTACAGGGTCCCATTGCACAGCTGGACTCCTAAAGGGGTTTTCATAGAAAAGAAATGGAAACTAAAAATGAATTAGACCCTAAGATGTACAGGTATGCTATGACCCCAGCAACTCAAGGAGGCTGGAGGCTGAGAGGAAGCTCTGGCCACTGCTGCTCAGCCCTGGATTTGGGGACCTGATGTCCACAGTCAGTCCCTGCCCTCACAAGGCTCACACTACAGGTGGTGAAGATATAATTAAACAAGTTACAAAGACGGGTCATTTGACCATCTGAGTGACAATAATTTATATGCCAAAACACCAGGAACACTAGAGAGGCGAAAGACAAGAATACGTAAAAACAAAAACAAAAAGCCAGGACAAACATTTCCAATATACACAAAAGAACGATTTTTCATATGTAAAGAGCTCTGACGAATGAATAAGGAGAAACCTGCACTTCCACGATTTCCTTCCAAGTGCCCCACAGTTGATTCAATAACCCCTAGGTCTCCAATGCCTACTCTGGCCTCACACCCTTTCTTTCCTCTAAGGAATGCCTGTGACCTCAGCCTCTCCCCGCACCCACTTCGGATCAGCCCCCAGAACCCCCCTCCAGTCATCAGAATGTAGAGTTGCTGGCGTCCTCCTTCAGGTTCTGTTTGGGGCAATGGGCAGTTAGCCCTTCCCTCTTGAGTCCTGAGTCCCCCTCTTCCCCCACAGCTTGAAGTCCAGTCCCAAGGGCTGGCAGGAGCTGGGCTGTGCAAAGGCGTAAGGCTGGGAGGAAGGGGAGGGTGGGTCCCCCTAGCATTCCAGGCCCAGCCCTGCCTACTCTGTCCCTTTCTGGCTGCGACGATCGCCCAGCACCCTCCGCGGATACTGGGAGTGAGTGTCAGCTGTGAGGCAGGGGCACGCTGTGGCAGTACTGACAGGGTTCCTGCAGCCCACCTTCCCCAGGACAAGAGTTGGGAGGGAAGGCGCCTGGCTGGGGGAGGGCACCTGGGCCTCTGCAACGCGGACTGACGGAAGGCACGCGTGCACGCCCCAGTGAGTTCGGGTCGGGCGACGCGCACCACCTCCCAGGTACCCGGTCCCGCACCCTACCCGCAGCAGCGCCCAGCGAGGACTGCGAGGGAGGCAGGCTCCAGGCA